CAAAATGCCATCTCATATGAGATAGCTCAAACCATTTTAAGCAAAATATAAAGTTATTGTTTGAGCTATTCTATGTCAAAGGTTGTCGTGAAAAAGAAAAATTATACTAAAGTATGATATGATTTATATTCTTTATTTTTTGTTTAAAGTAAATGCGCGAAGATATTCCATGTAGGTGTGAATCTTAAGAAGAATGTTTAAGAGGAAGTACCAAATGATGAGGTGAAAATCGAAGTAAAGCGTGTTTTACAATTCTCATTAATGGCCTTTGATTTTGTCATCTTTAGGTTTATATTGTATAACTTGAAGTAGTAATTTTCTTTCAAATAATACATAGAGATTTTGATATATGTTTTTTGTTGTATATATTTATACTCTACAATTGCAGTAACTTTGAATTGTGATTTTCTCCGATATCGAAGTGAGATTCTAATGTGTTTTTCTTTTCCTTTTATATATAGATTTATCATTCTTATAAATATATTTTTCTATATGTTCTTAATTCCTTTTGCCTCTATTTCTTTTCTTCAATGAATTTTTTGAATTGTTTTTCCTTTTCTGAAGTTGTTTCTCTTCTAAAACTCCTTAAATTTTCTTCAAATAGGTTTTGTATATTTATAACATGTTTACTCTAATGTTCTTTTTCAAAATTCTCAATTTATTTCCATGTTTTCATAATACTAAAGGTTTATTTATTTTTGGTGTTCAAAAGAAAAAGAAAGAAACCAAAGCAAATAAAAATGAGATCAAAAGAAGAATGACCCAAAAAAGAAAAAGTGTTGCGTCATGACATTTCTTGAGGAACGAAGATAATTCTACCACCATCATCGTAAAAGATTTATTTCTGTTATGAAGGTTGTGCCAAAAAATTCAAATGTTCAATTCACTAGGCATTAATCTATGACATTGATTAAGTTAACATATAATGCAATCTAATTAATTAAGAAATCACATGTAATAATATGTTACCGATCAAAATTTTTAACACTATGAATAGGGTAAGTTTTCAGTAGCTTAAAAATCAATAGACAATGAATTGTTAACTTTATGAAATAAAGTATTTTTTATTTTCGGGTTATACTATCGATGATTGAAAATTTAATGAAGTTCATAATCAACTTGCAAATAATACTCATTATTCTAATGTTATGATTTACACACATTTACGGTTCTTATTTTATTAAGTGTGTTATTGAAAGATTTTCTTATTAAAATTTAAATGTTCATGTGAATGTTTGGTGAATGTTATTCTTTAAAGTGTGTCATTATCTATAATTTAATAGTGCAGTTACTCAATTAAATGTATCTCATAAAAGCATGCTTTAACTATCAGAATAATACTTAAATTAACGGAATAAAATTTTTAACATTTATGTTGCAAGGTAAGAGGAGGAGGTCTTCATAATGATCTTTTGTCAGAAGTAAATATTTTTTCTCATAAAAATTTCCAGTTTCTCAATATACAACTTACAATAATTTAATTTATTTTATTTGTGTAATTAGTAGTTTTAAGAATCTATGCAACATTTATTTTAATTTTAGTTTTTATTTTTTTTAGTCTTGAACTTTCTTAATTAGCTAAAACTTAAGTAATATTCATTGATAATATACTGTTAACTATACATTACATAAATTATTTGCTATAAATAAACTAAATTTATGGTAAACCAAATGCATTTTATTTATTGGCGATTTTTTTCTCATAAAAAGAGAGATAATATCTACATCTACATCTATCTATCTATATATANGCCACTTGGCAATCTTAAAGAGTTTGTGGAAATTGTCAAATAAGGAAATATCACTTAAGAACTATATATGAATTTCATTTATTGAAATTAAATTGAAAAAAGAATTCTTTAAAAAAAATAAAGTTCAATCACTGTACTAATATTTTCTAACTGAAATTTTATATCTGGAAAGTAAAATTTTTGATATCAATAGTATTTGGATTCCTTCTAATATCGAGTGAGAAGAATATATCCTACCGTAATCTAATGTGCAATTTTAATTTATTTTAAAAATTTAATACTTTTTAATGAGTTGAAGAATATATTTTAAGGGTTTAACCTAAAGTTCAGAATGTGGATATATTTAATAATTTATTTATTTCATAATGGATAATCCAAAGTATCTGTTTTAGACTAAGTTTTCTGAATTTTAAACAAGTATACAATAAAAATAATTGTTTTAAAGGCTAAAAGCTTCAACAAAAATAATAATTACTAGAAGTTTAATAATGAAAATACCGTAATATTTTGGTGAAGTACTATATAGTTTGATCATATGCACTTTAGTTTTGTCTATTATTGAATAAAATACTAAATAAAAAAATTAAATAAAATCTCATACTTACTAGGGGAAATAATTTAGAAAGAGGAGGATAAAGATAGTGTGAGAGAATTTCATACTTTGAATTAATTTAAATGAAAAAAAGCAAATAAATAAATTAATACTCAAAAATATTATTGATAAATTTAAATATTATATGGTGAAAGATTAAAAATAAATAAAAATATTATTTTAATAGAAAGAAAAACCATATTCATTATAGTATATTATAATAGAAGTAGCAGATAGAGATATAAAGTAGGTGCCAGACTAATAAAAAGTTAAGTAATAATGTAACCATATTAAGCAACGGGTAACACAGTAACAATAAACAATGAACAAAAAATAGAGAATTTTTTTTTGTAAACAAATTATATAATTGTAGATATATAGAAGGATTAGACATTTAAATTTAATATAAGAAAACTTCTTAAATTATTACGAGAAAAAATATATTATATGGATTATATCACGTAGTTGAAAACATAATTTATAAACCTAAAATTTAAAACATTTACAATGAAATAACACCAAGCAACAAATTAATAATATAAAGATGTAATTAAAATTGTCATGTAGTTAAGTTATAAAAAATTAAAGTCAAAACTCTATATGAAAACAAAAGAAAAAAATTAATTGCTTATTACACATAATACTAAATAATAATTACTAAACATGTAGATTTATGGAAAATAATAAAAGAACTTCTTCGTTTAAACTTTGGCATATTTTCAAAAGAATTAGAAAAATAATACGATAATGTTTATATTATAGATACATCACGAATATGAAAAATAATTAAAATATTATATGATAGAAAATAATGTATATAGAGGAGAATAGAAGTAATCTGAAGGGGCCTACACTTTAAATTTGTTTAATAAAATAATTAAATAGGAAAAATAATATTATTGATAAATTTAAACAAAATAATTGGAGCTACGAAACAAAAGAATAATGTTAAATTAAATTTTAGGGTATTGAAAACTATATTCATTATATTATATTAAAAGTAGAGCAACGAGTAAGGACATTAAGTAACGTGATAAGCTAATAAAAAGTCACATGGCAATATAGCAAGCGTGCATTATGGTTAAGCCAAGTGACAAGCTAATATAAAGCCACTTGGAAAATTATGACAATATTTGTTATAGTATTTAATTTAGATTGAAAGACAGGATATTTATTTAAATTTAAATAGAAAGATAGTAAAGAAGATTCTTTTGAATCTGAATGAAAGAAAGTTAAATTTGAATTGATTGATTAATTAATTAGGAAAGCTAATCAACACATAAATGTTCCAATTCAAACGGGAGGCTCAACGAGTGAGACAAATTGTTCTAAATAATGAGAAAGAGTTTTTTGAAATTTGAGTTCACAACAAAAATAACAGAAAAAACAAAAAACATGTTTGTTACTAGAAATAAGACTAAAAAGCCTAGGCTTGAACCCATAATCATAATTACCGAGTTGTTGGATCAAAACTTAACTTTCATAACTACCATCAGGATAATATTTAACTATGAATCGACTTAGACATTGGCTAAACAAATGTCAATTGTGCCGACTTTCAATAAAATTAGTTATCCAATATTTTATAATTTATTTTATATCTTAATTGTTTGGAAGCAATACATACATCTTTTTTGTTTTCTTTTTTAATTTTTCTATTAGTGATAGCAATTGCTATGCTAAAATATATAATAAGGGAGGATAGATTCTTCTCTAATAAGGGGGAGACTGTGGCAAAATCAAGGAGATACAACAACAATACTCCAAGACTCAAGATTTCAAAAAGTCGAGTGGTCATTAGGGCTATGCCGAGAAGAAGGCGCAGGTCGAGAAGAAGGGATGTTATATATGCGGAAGGCCACATGGCTTCAGGAATTGTCCTCACCTCAAGAGCCTCAGTGCCATGGTACGTGAGCGGAAGGAGCAGCCATAAGGAGAGAGTCCGGGAACCGCACAGTTGGGTATGATCGGATTATGTGGTGTTGCCACGAAGCAAGCTATCCAACCTACTGAGAATGACAATCAGTACGTGGACCTCACTATCAACAACAAGCCCGCTCGTGCAATGGTGGATACTGGAGCAACTCATAATTTCGTGACTGAGGCTGCCATAAAGAAACTAGAATTGAAGCTTGCTTCAACCAACTCTCGCGTCAAGACCGTGAATGCCGAGATACAGAATGCTCGTGGGGTAGCTAATGGAGTTGGTGTCAAATTGGGAACTTGGAAAGGTATGACAAACTTTACCGTAACCGCTATGGATATCTTTGACATCATACTGGGGCAAGAGTTCTTTAGACATTGTCATACTTTTAATCAATCCCTACCTCCAACATCTCTTGGCTATGGAGCGAGAAGGAGCTTGCATGGTACCTACAATGACTATGCCACACGGACAGATCCAAGCACAACTCTTAGCTATGTAGGTTGTCAAGGGGATAAAGAAGGGGGAGCCAACGTTCGTGGCAACCATTGCAAGTCTAGAGGAAGACAAAAATTTTCAAGAGACAGTGCCGCCTTGCATAAAGAAGTTGCTTAAGGAAAACAAAGATGTCATGCCCGAGGAGTTGCCTAAGCACTTGCCGCCCAGGCGAGAGGTGGATCACAAGATTGAGTTGGAACCAGGGGCTAAGCCACCCGCATTTGCCCCATATTGTATGGCACCTCCCGAGCTAGAGGAGCTCATGAAACAATTGAAGGAGCTCCTAGATGCTGATCACATTCGCCCATCAAAGGCACCTTTTGGTGCACCATTATTGTTCCAGAAGAAGAAGAATGGATCATTGCGTTTGTGCATAGACTACCGAGCACTTAATAAGGTCACCGTGAAGAATAAGTACCTGATCCTGCTAATTTCTGACTTGTTTTATAGACTTGGGCAAGCCAAGTACTTTACCAAGGTGGATCTTCAAAAGGGCTACTACCAGGTTCACATTGCGGAAGGGGATGAGACAAACACGACATGTGTGATGAGATATGGAGCCTTTGAGTGGTTGGTGATACGCTTCGGCTTAACCAATGCACCGACCACATTTTTCACCCTTATGAACAAGATTTTTCATCCCTAACTTGATCAGTTCGTGGTAGTCTACCTAGATGACATAGTCATCTACAACAACACATTGGAGGAACACATGAAGCACTTAAGGAAGGTTTTCCAAGTCTTGCAGGAGAACGAGCTATACATCAAGAGAGAGAAGTGCGAGTTTGCACAATCAAAGGTGCACTTCTTGGGCCATGTCATTAGCAATGGCGAGCTACGCATGGACGAGGCTAAGGTACATGCTATCTAGGAGTGGGAGGCACCCATAAAGGTAACTGAATTGAGATCCTGCCTTGGCCTTGTTAACTACTATCGTCGGTTCATCAGTGGATACTCAGCAAAGGCCGCACCATTGACTGAGTTGCTAAAGAAGAACAAGCCATGGGTTTGGACGGAGCATTGTCAAAAGGCGTTTGAAGGCCTTAAGGCAACTGTAATAGAGGAGCCAGTCTTGGCATTACCTGACTTTGCCAAGACTTTTGAGGTGCACACAGATGCCTCAGACTTTGACATTGGGGGTGTACTGATGTAGGATAAGCATCCCATAGCATTTGAGAGCCACAAGTTAAATGAGACGGAGCGACGTTACACGGTACAAGAGAAGGAAATGACTGCCATTGTGCATTGCCTTCGTACATAGAGACATTATCTGCTCGGGTCGAGGTTCATGGTCAAGACTGATAATGTGGCTACTAGCTACTTTCAGACACAGAAGAAGCTCACACCAAAGCAGGCTAGGTGGAAGGATTTCTTGGCCGAGTTTGATTATGCGGTGGAGTATAAGCCGGGCAAAGTTAACGTTGTAGCTGATGCCTTGAGCCGGAAAGCCGAGCTTGCTGCAATCACTTCAGCGATATGGGATATTTGGGAGGCTATAAAAGAAGGCATGCAACATGATCTAGCAGCCAAACAACTTATCGAGTTAGCCAACCAGGGCAAGATGAGACATTTTTGGGTAGAAGACGACATATTGCTTACCACGGGTCGGCGGGTCTACGTGCCTATTTTTGGAGACATTAGACGGTAGATCATAAAGGAGAGTCATGATACAATGTGGGCTGGTAATCCAGGCCAACGTCGCACCAGGGTCTTGGTTGAGTCAGTCTACTATTGGCCACGCATGCGAGATGATATAGAATATTATGTGCAGACTTGTCTTGTATGTCAGCAGGACAAGGTTGAGCAACAATAACCCGGAGGGCTTTGGAAGCCACTACTAGTTGCAGAGCGTCCATTGGAGAGCGTGACTATGGACTTTATCACTTGCCTACCAAGGTCCGACAGTTATGGTACTACTATGGTGGTCGTGGATAGATTTTCCAAATATGCTACCTTCATGCCCGCCTCACCAGGTTGTGCAGCCAAGGAAGCCGCCAAGCTATTCTTTAAGAACGTGGCGAAGTATTGGGGCTTACCAAAGCATATAATCAGTGATCGAGACCCCCACTTTACTGGAAACTTTTGGAGAGAGTTGTTTGACATACTTGGTACAAAGCTGCACTTTTCTACTAGTTTCCACCCACAGACGGATGGACAAATGGAATTAGTCAATGCCTTACTAGAATGCTTCTTGAGGCATTATGTAAGCATGCATCAGAAAGATTGGGCAAGGCTTATCGACATCGCCCAATTCTCTTATAACTTGCAGCGGAGTGAGTCCACGGGACGGACACCATTTGAGCTAGCCACAGGCCAACAACCACAAACTCCACATTCCTTACCAGACGTGTTCGAGGGAAAGAGTTTGGGGGCTTATCATATAGCCAAAGGATGGGAGGAGCAGCTCGACACTGCTAAGGCAACTAAGAAGATGAAGAAGTTTGCGAGCTGTAAGTAGCATCCCACATACTATAGAGTTGGGGACATGGTCATGGTGAAGTTTAACCCAAGATAGTTCAAGGCACTATGGGGCATGCATCAGAATCTGATTCACAAGTATGAGGGGCCATTTAAGATCATCGCCAAGGTAGGCAAGATCTCATACAAGCTTGACATGCCATCGTATCTTAAGATCTACCCTGTCTTCCATGCCAGCATTCTTAAGCCATATCATGAAGATAAGGATGATACGAGTAGGATCCAATCAAGTCAGGCACCAATGACTATCACTGCCTCGCATGATCGGGAGATTGGGGCTATCATAGATTACCAGGCCAGGTGAAAACAAGGGAAAAAAGCCATCGCTATGTTCCTCGTCCATTGGAAAGGGCAATCACCGGAGGAGGCCACGTGGGAACTGTCACACCTCCTTTTAACCTACACCCCTCGAAAGGGTATATATAAGGGAGTTTTTTCCAATTAAAGTGACAATTGAAACAGGATTATTTATCAAAAATTCAGAGTCGCCACTTCGGATAATTTTATGGTGTCCCAAGTCACCAGTTCAAATCCCTAACCGAGGAAAATATTGACTCTATATATCAGTTTGCGAACATAGAAATCCGGGTAAGGAATTCTGTTAACCCGGGAAAAAGTATTAGGCATTCCCGAGTTCCGTGGTTCTAGCACGGTCGCTCAACTGTTATAATCAGTATATTATCTGATTTTAATACATGTTTTAACCTATGGTTCAATTTTAACTTTATAACCTCTTTAATTAATTAATAGGAAGATTCAACATTATTTAAAACACGCCTTGAACCACGTCACATGAAATGCACACCCGAGTTTAAGGAAATTAATCTAAATTGTGCGCCTAAAGCAACTACGCACTTTCAAGTTTGCGAGGACCATTGAAAATTCACTAATGGCACACCTCGATTTCTAAAGAGTTAAACTTAATTAAGTGAGGGCCCTTACGCAGATGCATTCAAGCTTGGGCTCACAATGAACCCAATCTGTTAGTGTAAAAGAACGTCTAAGGACGTGTAGCACGCTGCCGAGTCTGACGTTGATCCTTCCACAACTGGGCCAATACTAAGCCCAATTCTTAGAACAAACACTTGTGCATAATCAATTAACGGCCAATCAGTCGATACTACGTGAAAACAAGAAATTAGATTAATCAAAGAATTCTGAATTTTAACCATTTGGCACAAGTTAACCAACTGAAGCTTCCAACGCATTCTTTTGGGGTTTAATCTTCTATGAAAAAAATCCAGCAACAAACGAACAAGCTACTGGGCTCCCAAAACGAGCCCAAACAGCATTGATATCCTGTTCACATGGCCCAAACGCCCAATGCTAGAATTTCAGAGCCACTAAATGTTGACTGCATAAACACGTGAATTGGGACATAGAAATTTGGCCTGAGGCCAGCCCAATGAAAGGGATTGAGGCCTACGATCGAACCCGTTTGACGGTACCATACGACATCGAATTGATCATTCATTTGCAATAAACCGAAATAACGCAAGACCTATTTGGATCTGAGTCCAAGGCATATGCACAAACTCCCATTTGACTTCCAGATTTATAATTGTTTTAACATGGAACAATAGATAAATAACTTAATCAAATACTCCCAAATCAATCATTGGTTCATTATGCCTGACATCAATTCGTTAACCAACTTTGCAAAACAACCGTGAGCCTCCAAATTTATTTAAATCTTGGCTTAAACCACATGAACAATAAATGGAATTCCATGAAGTAACATGATGAGCAAACGTGAAGAGCACACTTGGTTTGATCTTAGACTCATACTACGGTGAACTCATACACTTCTGATTCTGGCTTACAACAAAAACATTTGCATATCTAATCAAGCCAAACCTCATTCGTATACCAATACATATATCCAATTACATTAAATATCAATAAATTTGCACTAGTCAGAACAATAATCATAAAACTTCACTTTCAGGAATGGGCAATTGCCTTTTTCAGTCGAACACACTTTGACCGTTAAGAACTAAAATGATAAGTTAAAGATTGAAAATAATAGAGCTTAACCACGTGAATAAGCATATTCATACTAAGCATGGATCATTTTCGTAAACTAAATGCAACAACAAGTACTTGTTTTACAAATCTGTCTAAACGTAATAATACACATGACCTCATATGATCCTTAATGACATACTTGAAAATGGTAAAACACAAACGTACTAAATCAATACAACATTCTTCAGAAAACACAAATACTATTTAATATCAAAACTCATAAGCATCTTGAGCTTCCAATGGATTTCAAGGCCTCAAACTCACATATCATACATTCATAGGTCTAAGAAGTACCTGAATAATCAGCAAAAGACCAAATGTTAGCTTGAAACGAAGAGGGAATAGAAGGAATAAACCAACAGCAACAAAATCAAACCATAGCTTCAAATGCAAATCGCTTTCAAACCCACAATCAGAATGGCCTTCAGAAATCGAAAATAACCTTCGAGAACTGTAATTTTTTTTCGATGGAACAGTAAAATTTCTGTACTTCTAGCTGTTTTTCAATTTTTTTGGATTTTCTATCTCTAATTTCTTCTTCCCCTCCAAAAAAAAAATCTCCCTTGAGTTAGAAGGAAATATGCCTTTATAGGCAAGGCCTTAGGGCAGCCTCAAAGAGTTAAAATTTTGCATTTAGACCCTTTTTGAATTTTGGTTCTTACTTAGAAATCCTTAGTGTAAATATCAGAATTTCAGATTAATCCCCACCCCAGCTTCCTGGAAGCTTCCCTAGTCAGTTATTCAGAGATTATTTATCTACAAACCCTAAACTACCCTTTATCCCTGAGTTATTTACCCTCAAAAACCAACCCGGGTCAAGTTGACCCAAGCATCAAACCCAAACCCTGGGCCTGTCAATCCCGACTCAATCCCCCCCTTTGGACCCAATTCTAATTCAGAAATCTAGCAAAAGGAGCTAAAAGCAGAACAAGTAATAGTAAAAGAAAAATATTCGGGCTCAAACGAATTTCTGAACCAAATGCCCTCTATGGCCTAAGACTGAGTGAAAATCAAATAGACTGAACAAATGAACCCCAACAAACCTAAAGAAAAGTACTAATTAATGATGAAGCATGGATTAAAGAAACATATGCAGAAACGACTTTGAGGAAACATAGGAAACGAAGAAAAAATAGAAGAGGATAGGGAAATGAAAATGAAGAGAAGGAAATATAGTTAATACCTGTCTGTACCAGACGAACAAAAGGAATCCCTGAACAAACCTTTGAATCCAATTTTGGATCGAAATAAACCTTAATCGTGTGTTCTCAATGAAAACATACGACTAAAGTCCAATTCGAACTCAAATCTTCATCCACTGGCTGATTTGCATCTTTGGAGATTTTTAGGGGTTCCGCCTTTAGATTTAAGATTCGAACGGCTCTGGGAAGATTCAAGGGTAGCTGAACAGATATTTAGAAAGAGGCGAGGATGGGGATCATAGGGTGTAATTTTGGTGGTGAACTGAGGTGGCGCCGCCAGTTGAGAATGGTGAAAATCAGGGCGACGCTAGGGTTTGGTGGTGGTCTCTGAGAGGGGTGAATTGAGAGACGATGAGAGGGGGGCNGGGAATTAAGTAAAAACAGCCCAAAATTGGATTTCCCTCTTTTCCCTTTTCAAAAACCTTTTCAATTCCTTTTTTTTAAAATAAAATAAAACAAAACCCAACTTAATTTTTAACCCAAATTATCCTAAAAAATTAAATTAATTAACCCTAATAATTATTACAACTAATTAAATACCAAATTAAAGGAAAACCAACCAAATTCAAATCTAAAAATTGAATAATGCAACATAAACCATTTTTGTGATTTTTCCCTTTTCATAAAACAACTAATTTGCTAATTAATCCTAAAATATAGAATTAAATCCTAAATACAAATGCAACATATTTTTTTGTATTTTTCATTAATTAAGCAAAATTAACATGCGCAGACAAATGCAAACAATTAACAAAAAATGCTACAAAAATCTATGAAATTGCAAATAATGGGAAAATTTATTGTTCATGAATTTATGGGAGTAATTCACATAGGGAAAAAATCACGTGCTCACAGCTGCCCCTCTTTGCTCGGAAACACGAAGAGTTTTCGTGCAAAGACAAAGTGAGCGGATATGAGCGATTTTTGCCCGTTTGAATAC